CGAACACATCGATGTTTGATCGCTTCCCGAATGCCTGGAGAGCTCCAGGCACTCAGGAAATCTTCGATCGTCGAATTGCGAATCTAGATCCACTGCCTGTCTCTCTCGATCGGGGAGCTACTGAAACCTCGAGCCTTCAGCGTGGAACCAAGATCGTCGGGTCAGCTTGATGTATTTCGTAGGAGAACGCCGTCTGGTCGTTGTTGGTGCTCTTTTGTGCCGTCCTGGGGCACTCTTGGGCCGTCCTGGGGGCTTCTTGGGCCGCCTTGGGGAGTGGGGGCCCTCCAGAGGTCTCCTGAAGCCATCTAGGGCCTTCTTGCTGGCCTCCAGTGGCGTTCTTGGAGGTATCCCATGGCTTTCGTGGGTCTCTCTTGGAAGCCTTCTGGGAGCATCTTGGGCTGCTTGTGGGCAGTCTCGGGGCTGTATGGGGCAGTCTTGGGGCCCCCTTGGGCCGCCTTCAAACCCCCTAGGGGGCCTCCCGGGCCGCCTTGGGGCGAGATTGGGGGCCCATTGGGCCGTCCCGGACGCTGCGATGACCCAAAAAACGGATATGCACAACATATGTATTTCCTGAGGGAATGTGACGATTTTGGCTTCTTCGGGGCTCTCTTAACGGCCTCTTGGGGTGTCTTGGGGGCCTCCTGGGCCGTCTTCAGACCATCGAGGTTCCTCTTGGAACGCTCTTGTGCTGTCTTGGGTCTCTCTTGCGCCTCTCCGACGACCCCTCTAATCGCCTTCAGTCGGCTCGCAAGGCCCAGCGAGGCGCCCAGGGAGGCCACGAAGGGCCACCGAACCTTTTCCAAGGGCGTCCACGGGGCCGCCGAGACGTCCGAAAGGGCGTCCGGAGCGCCCCTGGGTGGGGGGGGGCCAGGTAATAAAAATATAAGAGTAGGAATATAGACGCGCGGTTTCCCGACAGCTTGCGATGGTGAAGCGCGAGAGTGCCGTACGTCGGGGATTTCCGACATCGCCTTGGTTCGAAATCCAAGAGTCGATGCACGCGTTTTCCCATTCTTGTGCTGGGGAACCCTGCAGTCCGCCGGCACTGCCGCCATAGTTTGGGCGGCGCGGTCAGACTGCCCCGGTTGCGTGCGCAAGCCAACGGTCATTTCTGGCGGCGGCGCGGCTCCCATCGCATCCCAGGAGCCGACCTGGGCCGAGGCAGCGCTCACCCTCACGGCGCTGGTGGTCGTCTTCGCCGCGAGGCTCTTCCTCGGGGCTGTGACCAGCCTCGGCGCGCAGCCTGGGGACTTCCTCCACATTTGCTACAATGTCGGAGGCCAGAGCCTCGCTTTCGCCCAACCGTCGGGCGTCGGCATCCTCACTCCCGACGGCGACGCGCCTACCCGCCATCGCCGAGCGCCTCGTCTGTGACGATGGCGCCGCGGGCAGTGGTGCGGCCGGGCTCGGAGGTGATGTTACGCATCGTTTCAGGGCCACCCCCGTCGCCGCTACCGTCGCCCAGGTTTTGCAGGACGTTGTCGTGATGATGGGTCCGCCGCCGCAGCCAGCCGTCGTGCCGAACGTCGGCGGGAGGCCCATCGTGTCCACACCTAGAGGCGAAGGAGCCGTGGCGGCGGCGCCCCCTGGCGGCGCTGGCGCAGCTGGTGGCGTTGCTGCCCTGGCCGCTGTCCTCGCCGGCGGAGGAGTCGGCGGTGCCGCCGCGCCGGCTGCGGTGGGCCCCCTCGCCAGCGGTGCACGGGCGCTGCTGGCGACGGCGCGCTGGCGGCGGCGGCCGCGTCCGCGGCAGCGCCAGCTGCCGTCTGTGGCGCTTCCGCCCCTGGTGGCGCAGTGGCCCCCGCCGCCGCCGCCGCGCAGGCCGCCCCGTCCTTTGCGTGCGCGGCAGCAGGAATTCCTGGTGGCGACTTGCGGACCATGGCCGCGCAGCTGGACATCCGTGACGAACGGCGCCGCCCTCTCTCCGAGGCGGCCCGGCTGCTGGCGGAGGTGCCGTTCGCCGACTGGCCGATCGACGGGCCGCGGGCGCTGGTCCGCGTCGCGCTCTTCCTCGCGCAGGTGGCGGTAACGCCGTTGGCCGGGCACCTGAAGTTCCGCGCGGGCGCTCGCCTCGGCGATTCGGCTACGACGTGCTGGGAGTCGCGAGTCGCGAGATGACGTGCTGGCTTCTGGAGATCGGGCTGTGCTGCGACCAGCTGCACGGCGCTAACCTGATCCAGACGGAGAATGACAGGTGCAGGCGCCGCTTCGAGAGCTCGTCGGACTTCCCCGCGAACGAGGACCTCATGATCGAGATGACGCACAGCAGGGGGCGCGTCTGCACGCGCCCGGTCCTGCGCGACCATGCGTCCGCTCAGCTACAGTAGGGGGCCGCCGTCAGCAAGGAACGGCGCGTCGCTCGCGAGGGGCGCGCGCACGCTGTTGGATGCGGCGCAGTCAACGACAACAGCGGAGGCCGAGGCCGCGACGAGAGGAAGGAGAGGGGCGGCGAGCGCGGTGACGCCGCCACCGCAGGCAAACGAGCGCGTTGCGCGCGGGCGGCCTGGGCGGCCGGCAGACCGCCGATCCTGGACAATGCCGGAAACGCGGCTTGACGCGCGCTACCCGAGGCAGGGCCACAGCGCGATTTGTCATTTATGCCTCGTTGCGGGCGGCGCCAGGACGTCGGCCCGTTCTGATCTCAGTCGGCCGTCGCTCGCGACGTCGCGTTGCTCTTCGCGCCCATCGGCAGTCTCGGCAAAACGACGCAATTTTGTTTCCGAGTCCACGACGCGGCTGCCCCGGCATCGTGGGCGACCCTGTCAATGAGTGCCAGCGCATAGCCATGCAGCGCATGAACACCGATCTGCACCGCCTCGGCCGACAGCCGTAGCAGCATGCAGAGACGCGTGAGCGCGGGGGCGGGGCCCTCGAGGAGCCCCTCCAGGGCGTCTCAATCTGCGGAGATGGCGCCTGCAACCCGTCGGTTCCGCACCGCCGAGAGCAGATCTCATGGTTGTCCTCCAGCGCCCGCCCGGTAGACATCTCGAACCTGGCCGGCGACGAGGAGACGGCGCGCACGCGGGACTGGCGGTCCCAAATGTTCTTGCCACGAGCGAGGCTGAGGATCTGATGACTACGGCGCGCCCTGGGGGCCCCACTGCGACCGGGCGCCGTCCGGCGACCCTCGGACATGCGCAGCGTTCCTGGGCAGGCCCCGCAGCAAGGGGATGGTTGATTTCTCCAGCTCCGCGGGCTTGGAGGGCTCAGTCGGTTTCTCTTTTTGCCCCGGCGAAGAATGGGGCCCAATCGCGTCATATTCGACGCGCGCATCGCAAATTCTTTCGTTGGGGCGACGCCAAAAACAAGGTTGCTCACGGCGGCGGCTCGGGGCTCGCTGGAGGTTCCTGACTCGGGAGCCGTCGTTGCCACCGACGACCTGGGGCGCCCCTTCCACCGCGCGAGGGTGCCCGGCGGCGTTGGGGAGCACGCAGGGCGGGGCTTGTGGACCTCCCTTCCGAGCCGGGCGAGATGGCCCCTGACCAGGCGGCGCTGCCGCCCATGGGCTTCTCTCTCCTGGGCTTCGCGCCCGTGCCAGGGCGCGACGGTGGCCCGCTTGCTACGGAGCGAAGTGGGGCCATCGAGCGTCTTCGCGACAGTCAGGCGGGCATCCGCCTCGGGCCGTCGCGGCCCGTCGCGGCCGGCGCCAGGGTGGAGCGGGCAACGCGGCGGCCGCGGGAACGGCGGCAGGCGCTGCCGACGACCTGCCGCTCGCGCCGGTCGCTGGCTTCGAGAACTAGAACTCTGGGCCCGTGGCGCACGAGGTCTCGGAGGCGCCCGCCGAGGCCGGGTTCTTGGGGCCGCAGCTGCGCGGAGGCAAGTCACCGACCCTCAAGCCGAGGGGCGCGCGGCGCCAGCTCGCCGCTCTGGGCGGCCCGTCGCAAGGGCGGCGGGTCACGGGCCGCGCACTTCGCGCCCTCCGCGGGCCTTGGGCACATCACCTGGGTCAGCACGCTGCGGCGCGAGGTCCTCGCGACCCCGCGCGCACGCCGCGCCTTGTTTTCAGGCCGCCGGCGATTCAAGGTCGCCGGGGCTCAGCAGCTGCCCGCCGGCGGCCCCTCGCCTGCGAATCGGCGGCAGAGAGGGTGGCCGCGAACAGAGGAGCTCTTCCTGCGCCTGACGCCGCGCTCGGCTCCGCCCGCCCCTCCAGGGCAGGGCCTCTGAGGGTGCCAGCGGCCGTCCAGGTCTGGGGCGGGGCCGGCATCTTGTTCCTCGAGGGGGGGCCTATGTCTGGCCCATCGTCATCTACTTCGGGATTGGGCCGGCGCGGGAAGGAGAATGTCGATCCCGGTTGACGAACTGCCGCTTGCCCGCGGGGTCGTCGAGGGGCGGGCCGAGAGCGGGCGCATTCGGCATTAGTTTGATCGGGGGCGCGCCCTCTCGGCAGCCGCTGGCTCGAAGCTGCGCGTCCGCCGGGTAGCTTCAGAACAGGGCTCATCACACTTCGTCGGCCGTGGCCAATATTGCCGGTTCAACGAGCGGCGCGCGCGGCGCCGGCCGCCGACGCCCACTTCTGCCGCTCGCCGCGGCGGTCGCCACGGGGGGCCCCGCGGGCGCCGAGGCGGCCGGGCGGGCGCGCGCGCCTACCGCGAGGGCAGCGTTTATGCAGCGGGGGAAGCTTGCGAACAGGCGCTCGGGTCTCGGACAGCCACGACGGGCCCGACGCCGCTGGAGACGCAAGCCATCCGCTCGAACACCGACCGGAGCGAATGCGGCGCCGCCGCCTCCACCTGGACTGGAAGACGCTCGAGGAGCTCGACCCCGCGCTGTCACTATGCTTCTCGGACTTCTTTTTGCTGAGCATACAGCCTGCAACGTTGGGGGTCAGACGCTGGCGGCAATTGCGCGCGTCGCGCCTCGAGCGGGCCGCGTCGGCGCCTGGCGAGACTCGGCCCCCCTTGCCCCGATCGGCGGTCCACGCGATCACGGGGTAGCTTCAGGGGCAGCTGGTCACGGCATGCTGAGCGGCGATGGCGCTCGCGGCGCACTTGGGGCCAGCGGAGCCCAGGGCCTCTCCCGCGAGAGCCTTGCCCCGCCGACGCCAGCTGCGGGGGTGAGCTGCGCCAGCTGGGCGCTGCCGCTGCACCCAATGGCCCGCGGCGTCGTGGGCAAGACTGGCCACTGCGACGACAGCGCGGTGATCGACCGGGCTCCGCTCTGGCCGACTGGACGCACTGCGCTGCGCGACGCCGCAGGGCACGTCGATGTGGGTGGAACATCGCGCTCAATGGTTGTCACCTGGCACTTCCGGGCGGCCTGCAGGGTGCTGGAGCTCTCGGCGCCGAGGCCGCGCCTCTACAATCTCCAGCGCGGAGGGGCCTCGGACGACCTCCTGTCGGGGCGGCGGGGCCTAGGTGAGGCACGGCGCCGAGGCCGCTGGGCAGCGCCGTCATCGAGGCGACGCCGCGGCAAGGATGGGGGCCCCGCTGGACGAGATGGCGAGGGCCATTTCGGGCGTCTTCGCGTTCGGGGCGCTGGTCGAGGCCAACTTCGCGGCCCCGCTCGATCACGGCTTCGAGATGCTGGGGCTATGCCGCCAGTTTCCCGCCGCAGCGCCGCCGCCCCTCGGCCCCGCGCCCGCGTCGGCGAGGAGGCGGGCCCGCAGGAGGCCTGCGCCCCGCCGCTGAGTTGCCTTGCTGGGCCGACGGCGGCGGCCACCTGCCCCCCGGCTGTCGCGCCCCCTGGCGGCGCCGCGGTGGCGGGCGAAGGCCAGTGCAGCTGGCGCCTGAAGCGGAGGCCTGTCGCCGTCTCCAATCATCTGACAGAGGCCATGAAGCGGCGCCGCGTCGCCCGTGCTGGCGCTGGACCTCAGCCGCGGCGTTGTCGACGATCACCTGAGCCTCGAGTCTCGCACCGCCCTTATGGGATGGTTGTCCGGGCGCGTGGCAAGCGTTGTCTGGGTCGACCGCGTGGCCCCAGGCTCTGAGGGCGCCGCTCAAGACCAGAGCGCGCCCCATGGGGGGGGCTGATTTGCTGCTTCACGAGGCCACCAAGGTCCGAGTCGGCAACAGGGCATTCCACGTGTCTTGCGATGTCATCGATCTGCGCATCAAATTAATTACGCACTCCTGCGTTCATAGAGAACCCAGCTGGTTTGCTGATCTGGAGAACCTGGCGGCTTTGGCGGCTCCTCCAGCATCCAAGCTGCCAGCTGTGCTCTTTTGATTGCTGTCAGTTCAAGGCCCCCTGTCGCACACGGACCGCGGTAGTTGCTTGGGAAGCAGTTGGCCCCTCGCATCTTGCAAAGAGGTGCTCTGGGCGTCGTGGACCCTGCTCCAGATCTCGGCGGCCACATGTCGTTCGGACTGGACATGTCAACGGTGTACATTTCACGGCCCAGGCGGCAGCATACCCTACTGTTGTCTGCCGCCAGGTCGACCTGCATATTGAACATTCTATGCATGTTCAGTCCCACAAGCATGTGCTGATCATTGTGACCAGGTGATGTCCTGCATCGTCTATTTCTTCTCAGGTATAACGGCCTGGCGGCCAGATCAATCCGTCGGGGTTTTGGGGCATGTGGTCTGTTCGCTGGTTTCAGCCTTGCGCTAATGTGTCTTCGCGGGGTCCCCGGAGGGTTCCCCACCCCAACGTGGCTCCGACCCACACATAGGCCCTGCAAAAAGGAACGGGGCGCGTGTCCGACTCTTGCTTCTTAGGCTGACGCCTGTCTGTGAGCCCCCGTTTCTCCTGTTTGCAACATGGCCGTTCAGTGCTGGCGCTCGGGAGTGGACACGGGCTCTCTCTCTCTCTCTCTCTCTCTCTCCCCATATCTATATACATATATTCTATATACATACATACCTACCTACCTACCTACCTACCCACATACATACATACATATACATGTAGTTACATGTCTATATACTTACATACGAACTACAACTCCGCATTTTAGACTGTGTGATCGACCAGAGACCACAAGCCACGACCAGAGACCACGAACCACGAACAGAGACCATGAGGCACGACCAGAGACCACGACCAGAGACCACCAGCCACCGATTTGGGATCGCGCAGGCCGCCTGCCGGCTTCAAAAGCCTTAGTCAGGTCCCTGACGAACGAGCTGTTGCAGGAACTTTCAGGACCCATCTCCTTTAGGACTCATTTCCTTCGTGCTGGCTGACCCCTTTCCCTCCCCGGTACGCGCGCCTGTCGGCGGACAGGTCGACACGCTGAACGACCTGCGCGGTTGCCCGAGGCTCGCCGAGTTGTACCTCCGGATCGCCCCCCCCCCACATCAGCTTGCAACCCGCGGGCCGCGCACGACCCCTTGACGAGGAAGCGAGGAGGAGGCGCGAGAAGTGGGAGGAGGAGGAAGAGGAGGAGGAGGAAGAGGAGGAGGAGGAGTTGTTTTGTTATGCTTGTCTTTGTTCCCCAATCAGAGCTTGCCTCTGTAGGGGTCCTAGCGGATTCATATGGTTAGGTTAGGTTTGTCGCCGATTTTCGCGGCACGCCCGGGTGCCCGGGTACCCGGGGGTGCCCGGGTGCCCGGGTGCCTTTGTGCCTGGGTGCCCGGGTGCCCGGGTGCCCGGGTTCCCGTGTGCCCGGGTGCTTGGGTGCCCAGGTGCCCGGGTGCCCAGGTGCCCGGTATTTAGCTCTATATAGCCCTATAGCCCTATAGTTTTGTAGCCCTATAGCCATAATAGCCCTATAGCCTTATAGCCTTATAGCCCTATAGCCCTATAGCCCTACAGCCCTACAGCCCCATAACCCTGTAGCCCAATAGCCCTATAGCCCTATGGCCGTGTAACTAGCCATGCAGCCCTATAGCCCCATAGCCTTCTAGCCCTATTGCCTGATAGCCCCATAGGCCCAAAGCCCTAAAACGATTATGATTGGGTTTTTTCACCGGTATGTTTATTCCTCTTGTTTTGTCTTCTCTCGGTTCCTTCTGGCTCTCCTCTCCCGCCCCTGCTCCGCTCGGTCCCTACCGCTCCTGGCAGTTTTTCTGTCCCTCCCTCCGTGGGTTCGCGCCCCCCGTTGCCCTTGGCCTTCGGTCCGCGCGCACCCCGTTGCACTCCTTCCGCCTGATGCGGTTGCGTGCCCTCTCTCGCTGCCCATTGCGACGTTGCCAGCTTGCGCCCGCGGCCTGCGGAAGCAAAAAAGAGGAGGAGGAGGAGGAAGAGGAGGAAGTGGAGGAAGAGGAGGAGGAGAGAGGAGGAGGAGAGAGGAGGAGGAGAAAGAGGAGGAGAAAGAGGAGGAGGAGGAAGAAAGGGAGGAGGAGGAGGAGGAGGAGAAGGAGGAGGAGGAGGAAGGAGGCGAGAGGGGACAAGGACGAGAAGGGAGGAGGGGAGTAGGACAAGCTAGGCGCGCTCGCGCCAGATCTTGCATCCTACCCCTTCCACCCATCCTTTCCCTCTGGTGGGCATGTTTTCTCGATCCGCCGACGGGCGTCATAGCGGACTGGGGACCGCGCGAAGGATCATATCGTGGCACGCAGAATCAGCAAAGGGGAGCTGTGCACATTGGAGGCCGAGGTGGTGGAGGAGCCAGAGGATGAGCAGGCGGAAGAGGACGAGGATGAGGAAGGAGGGAGACGAGGAGGAATTGCAGCAGTAGAAGCAGGAGTAGGAGGAGCGAGAAGAGCAGGAGAAACAGGGGACGGCGGAGGAGGGGAAAGCAGCGGGGCGGCAACGACGAGGAATGATTCGAATCCAAGTTGTTGCCCGCGCTGGGGCGAGAGCGCCATGCTGAACGACGGGGCAACCACATCTGATTCAAAATGAGGCCAGCGCTGCAGGGGGAGCGTTGTTTCGAAACACCGAGAATTGTCCTGTGCGCAACAACAAAATAAACAGCCACCTTTTTGAAATCCTACACGAAACAAGACATGCGGGAGAAATTAGGGCCCCGCTCGGACAGGATCCCAGGATCAAAAATAGTAGCATTCATATGGAGTGGTTGTGGCGGGGGGGAGTATGATAAGCAGGAGCAGGAGGAGGGAGGAGTTGGAGGAGAAAGATGGGGAGGAGGAGGAGGAGCAGCAACAGCAGCAGCAGCATGGCAGCAACAGGCACAGGAAGAGGGATGTTCTAGCTTTTTGGCGTTTGGGATCACTGGGGGCCGCCATGGCAGGATCGGCATCGGAATTTTGGTCAGGACGCGTTCCAGGAGAGGTCGGCAGTTTGATGTTTTAGGGAGGCGGATGTGGGGAGATGAGGAGGAAGTCTGTTTCTTCTCCACCTTCCTCCCACCGTAGCATGAGCGTCACAGGTCCAGCGCGCATGTCATGTTAGTTTGTTGCTTTCCACTGAGTTCAGGAGCAGGATCGCAAGTGTTCAGTCAGTCAGTCAGTCTGCCCCTCCCACTTCATCCCCTCCCTTCCATGAACTCCAGAGCGACCCTTCCCCACCTTTGTTTTCTTCGTGTTAGTGCTGTGCACTTCCCCCATGGGCATTCCATTACATTCCTCTCCCCTCCACCCCCTCGTTCCCTCTCTCTCTCTCTTTTCTCTCTCTCTCTCTCTCTCTATATATATCTCCCCTCCCCACTCCCCCCAACTTTTCCCTGGTCCCTGCCCCCCTTCCAGCCCTTTCCCCCGGCCTGCCCTTTCCTTGCCTCCCACCTGTTTCTCCTTGCACTCTTGCCCATCCTCTCTCGCCCTCCCCAGGCCCCACCCCCCTCTCCCCTGCCCTCGCTTCCTCATCAATCGGCCCTCGGCCTTTCTCTTGGACGACTCGCAGCGTCGCGAAGAAACATCGCGCTTCGCGGCCTGGGCCAGAGCGGTGCCCTTCTCTGGGGGGGGGGGATAGCGAGACCACGAAGCCAGGTTACCTGCTCGCTCTGGCCCCAGCAGCTTCCAAGAGACTGGCCCAGTTGCTGTACGATACTCTGCGCATGCGATGTGCCTGGCTGCTGCAGTGCTTCTGGCTGCTGCAGTGCTGGTTTTGTCCTCCTCCGCCTCCTCCTCCTCCTCCTCCTCCTCCTCCTCCTCACTCCCCCTTCTTCTTGCAACGTTTCCGTGCCAGCAGCAAGCAGAGGTTGCTCCACGCGGTGACTGTGCTTACGCGCCAGGCGACGTTTGTGCCTACGCGCCAGGCGACGTTGTTTTCACGACTACTATACAACCGCCTACACCCCAGTTTAGACCCTCAGCAAAGCAGTGACCAAGCCGGCTTCCGACCGCACCTCAGCACGTGCGACCATCTGTTCACGATCATTCAAGTAAACGAGATGGCGGAAGAGTGGACGATCCCGCTGTGGACAGCCACGGTCGATTTCAAGAAGGCCTTCGACACGGTCACCCACCAAAGCATTTGGCGAGCCCTTAGTGACCAAGGGACGCCTGTGGCTTACGTGCAGCTACTCGCAAAACTGTATGACGGGCAAACAGCTACAGTCCGAACAGACAGGAGGAGCAGAGAGCTCCACATACAAAGGGGCACGAAGTAGGAAGACCCGTTGAGCTCACTGTTGTTCAACTTCGTATCAGAAAGTATTATGCGGAACATCAAACAGAAGTGGTCTACCAAACGGAATGGACTACAGTTACACAGTGGGCATGAACGGCTTACTAATCTCCGGTTTGCGGATGACATCATCTTGATAGCTGGGTCGCTGCGCCACATCACTTGCATGTTGGACGACTTGAGCAAGGAGGCCGCCAACACAGGACTCGAACTACATCCGGATAAGACACACATTCTCTACAACGGCAACAGAGGGTCTAGAAAGGAAAAAGCACCCAGCCACGCAACTGCCAACGGAATGACAATCGAGACGTGCCGCCTTACAGGTCGACGAAATATCTTGGAAGGAAATTGCAAGTCAGCGAATTCCACGTCACCGAGCTGGAGAACAGGATCTCGACGGCATGGAGAAAGTTCTTTGCTCTGCGAACTGAATTGACAGGGAAGCATTATTCAAAGAATAAACGAATCCGGCTCTTTCACGGAACGATCACACCGACTATTCTTTATGGGTGTGGAGCATGGACAACGACAGTTGAAATGGAAAACCGACTCCGCAGAACACAGCGCCAGATGTTGCGTATGATGTTGCGTGCGCCACGACGTCGAGACCCACGACAACTTGGACCGGAGGTGACTTGGCAAGACGATTCCGACCTAGAGCCTTGGGCAGGCTACATTCGACGGTCCACCCACAAAGCTGAAGGGATGATTGAGCATTTGCAAAGTACCGATTGGGTCACGATCTCACGCCAACGGAAATGGAGGTGGGCTCAGAAAGTTTGCAGTGTGGCAGAATACGAATGGACATCACAGGCGTTACGATGGGACGCTCAATGCGATTCAACACTGGGTGCACGACGGCGACAGGGTCATCCGAAGAAGCGGTGGTCGGATGATATTGTACGTTACGCAGGGCCCGACTGGATTTCAAAAACCCTCTCCGACAAATGGGAATTGCTTGAGGCAGCGCATGTAGGCAGGATGGTGCCTGATTATTATTATTCTTCTTTTTCTGTTTCTTCTTCTTCTTTGTAGAATATTGCATGTTGTAGCGTAGCATGTTCACGTATGTGTTGTTTGTTCATCTGTCTCACAGTTGCCCGGTGCCGCGGCGCCAACCTGCGACGCCCCCGCCGGCGACAGCTGCAGGTCCGATGTCCGATGTCCGATGGATGTCTGTCTTTCTATACGTCTGCCTGTAAGTCTGTCTGTCTGTCTGCACATGCCCGAGTTTGGGCGCGCAAGGCTGGCTCAGCGTTTAACCAAGATCTCGCCGGAAGCTGGCCAAGGCATCTTAGATAAGCCGTCGACCAGTTCTCTTACCCACTCTGGATGTATCAGGAGTTCGCCGAGAAGTGGCTCGCTAGCTGGACCGCGGACGGTGTGCGCTCCTCGTCGCTCTCCTTCACCCACTCCCTTCATGTACGCTATTTGTGTGTGGTGCGCACGCGTGTTAATTACGTGCGTTAATTCGACACGATGTGTCATGGTATGCATGTTGCTGCTGCATGCTCTTCACGCATGTTATTACCTGGTAGTGCATATATATATATATATATATATATATGTATTGCATGTGGGTCTGTTACAGGATCTGCCGTCATTTTACCATGGACACGAGGCGGGACACGAGGTGGTGCACGAGGGATCACCGGGGAGTATTGGGGCCTGCCGACCGCGGCATGCTGGGCGTGCGAACGGGTCGGGAGAGTGTCTCAAGTATCTGACATACCCAACGTGTCGGGCGGGGAGGAACTACAATCTCGTTCTCGATCGGCGGACGCCAGCCAAATCCCGATACCGATCCTGACTACGGCTGGCCCAGTCCTGGTCTGGCGCCAGCGCGTGCGCCCTCCAGGCTTCTGGCCAGGAATGCGCATGCGGCACCAGTCCTGGGCCCAGCCAAGGAGTCTGGGAAGCCGCATGCACATGACGTGCATGTATTTCCAGCGCTCCGCCCTCCTGCGGCCAGGTACGACACCCCCCCGCGTGTGTGTATATATATATATACACACATACATATGTATATATATATATATATATGTATAAACTTGAAGCTCGCTGCGCTTCGCTTTAAAGTCTTGGTATAGTGCATCGTGGGAGCGATGTGTGGGCCGAAGGCGGTTTTTGTGCTGGACCAAGAAGCGTGGACAGGGCCAGGGAACTGGACGGAAACCTGAAGACACGCCGGCAAGTGGACGACGGGCGCGCGCACGCGCGCGCGAATGGGCGCGCGCGCCAGGATACAGACCAAACATGTGCGGGTGCTGCGTCGCCAATCGTCTTTAGGGTATTCGTCTTGCGGGCGGTGTTGGCCGCATTTGGAGCATGGTCGAAGGAGTGTAGGGGCATTATCTGTTGAGCAGCATTCGGTGCAACGGGCTTGGTCGATTCCCGAGTGCAGCTGGCTAGAAGAGAAAGAAGAGCGTGGCAAGCATCTGCCGCAGTCCATGCAAGTCAGAAGTGCCACAGGGGCGTTGTCAGTAGAGCAGCACTCGGTGCAACGAGCTTAATATATTCGCGCATGCACTTGGCTCGCCGAGAAAGCTGAGCGAGGCAAGCATGTGCCGCATTCCCTGCAAGTCAAAGTGATCCGCTTAGGGGGCATGAGGCAGGCGTCCCTATCAGAGATTTTGAGCTAGGATGGCGGTCGTGCGAGTAGAGAAGATGATGGGATTCGGGGGGAGCGAATGGCTGGGGTTAGCGCGGACCGACCCGCAGGCTGCAGCCAATTTTCCATTCCCAAGACGAACAGATTGCTGAGCGCTCGAATGAGGTTAGGAAGAAGGGTGGAGGATGCGGAAGGCATTGCCGGTGGAGCTTTCGGGGTATCATGGTAGTCTACGGGTTAGTGGGCCGCTGGAGCCTTCTGGACACCGTTTTGGAGCAAGTGGAAGCATCTGAAACGCCTTCGGGCCATATTGGGGCCGTATTTGGCCGTGCTGGGTCCATGTTGGGCCGTCTTGGAAGCATTTTGGGGAGGTGGTCGGTAGCTCTGAGGCCTTTTTGGAGCTCAGGGGGCGTATGAGATTGCGGGGGCCGTCTGGGAGGTCCTGGAGGCCTCCTGGAGTGTTCGGAGGCATGGTGGGAGCCGCACCACCCAAGATAGTGCCCTACGCCCCTTCTTGGATTCTCTCGGGTCTCTGGGGACTCCCTTTGGGCGTGCTTAGGGTCACTTGTGCCTTCTTGGACGCTTATGGACCGTCTTGAGGCCCTCTCGGGCCGTCGTGGGGCCCTCTGGAGCCGTTTTGATGCCTTCGGTGGCCGGCTTGGACGTTGCGAAGATCCACGGAAGCGAACATGTTGAAAGTATGCGCTTCCAAAGGGAATGGGACCAATTTGGCCTCCTGGGGCCTCCTTGGGGGGCCTGTTGGAGCTGTCTGGGGGCGTCTTGGGGCCCTTCGGCCTGTGTGAGGCCACCTTGGTGCCTTTCGGAGCGCTCCTGGGGCCCGCCGGGGTTGACCTGGGAGCCTCTTGTGCAGTGTATTGAACTCCCTTGGGCAATCTTGGGGCCTCTTGGGCCGTCTTGGACGCCCCTTGGACCGTCTTGGGGCTCTCTCGGGCCGTCTTGGGGCTCTCTTGAACCGTCTTGGGGCCTTCTTGGGCCGTTTCGGACGTTGGGAAGATCCCCGGAAGCGAACATGGTAAACAAATTACGTTTTCCGAAGGGAATGGGGCGATCTTGGCCTCCCGGGGCCTTCTTGGGGGGCTTGTTGACGCTGTATTGGGGTGTCTTGGGGGCTTTCGGCTTGCATTGAAGCCATTTTGGGGCGTCTCGGAACGCTCATGGGGCCCTCCCGGGGTGACCTAGGAGCTTCTGGGGCAGTCATGGGGCCTCTCGGGGTGACCTCAGAGCCTCTAGGGCAATCTGGCAGCCTCCTCGGGAGGTCCAGAAGGCCCGAAAAGTGCCCGCGAAGGGGTCGCCGAAGCCGTCCAAATTCTATTGGGAGGGGGTCGGGGTGGGGGTGGGGCCCATCTTTGGTGCCAGAGAATATAGATAGGAATGTGTATACATATACATACATATATATATATATATGTATATATATATACACACATACACACATGCATATGAATGTACACGTATATATGCATCTGTGTATATGCAGACAGATTCCTCTTCCTATATTTTTACAAACCCAGGCGGGGGGAAACCCATCACCCCCCCCCCCCAAAAAACCGGACTCCCGAGATCTGAGGCTTTGGGACCCTCCGGACGGGCCTCGAAGCGGCCCCCCTGGCCTCGCAGGGCGGTTTGTCAAGCATTCCCAGCACACCTAGGGCGATCAGGGGGGTCATCGGAGACGCCCCAGAGACCCCCAAGACAGCACAAGAGCGCTCCGAGAGTGACCGACGTGACCTCAAGATGGCCCAAGAGGCCTCCAGAGCCTCCAGGACGGTCCCAAAGAGGCCTCCAAGAGCACTCCCAAGAAGGCCCCAAGAGGCAAAAATCATTGATTTTATGTAGGCTGTTGGTGAATTTTGGGGTTATCCTTTTTTCGGCTTCCCGACGCTCCAAGACGGCAGTCTTCTGGGCGTCCGAAGCCGCCTGGGAGGCTCCACAATCGCCCCACAACTATCCGAAAGGGCTTCCAGGCAGTCCAAGAGAGCCCCAAAACGGCACAACACGGGTCCAAGATGGCCCTCAGAGAGCCCCATGGCGGCCCAAGATGGCCCCAAGACACCCTCCGAAGCATTCCAAATCGTGACCTGGTCGTTCAGGGAGACCGCGGTTGGAGGCAGGGTGGCCCGAGGAAGCCCCCAGAGGCCCCCAGAATACACCCCGGAGGCCTCCAGAAGACCTTAAGAACGCTTGAAACAATTTTTATGAGGCCCCGAGAGGCTCTCCAAGGAGGAGCCTCCGCAAAAAATGATTGAGAAGGATGGGGAGAATGCGCAGGGTATGGCGAAAATAAAGAAAAAGAACCATGGAGGAAGGAGAACGAAGAACATTATCATAGCGGCGATGCCGGAAAAGGCAACAAGGAGTCATCGCTAAATTGTCGGCTTGATGTTTCTGCTATTCCGCCTGCACACCAAATCTCAATGACCAAGGTTCATGGCGCGAAGCGCTATTGCAGTCTTGTGTGTATATATATATACACATACCTACATACATACATATGTATACATGTATCCAGCGCGTGGCCTCCACGTGTTCCGCATGGTGATCCAGCCGCGCGTGGTTCCCAGTTCTCTGGAACTCAGCCAGCGGTCCTTCCATCCAACCGTGGCCCTGCAGGGGGCTGCCTGCTAATTGTCCCCGCTGCCGCCCTTCGGCGCGCGCGGTCGCAGAGGAAGAACAACGTCCGGGACTTGGCGGAGGCCGCCGTCGCCCCGCCTCTGCGCTTTCCCTCCCGACGCTGCTTGCAGCCGCCATTGGGCGAAGATTTATTGGCGCAGGTGCTCCTCACTCGTGTCGAAAAAATGTCTGCGCTTCGCGAATCCCCACCAGCCCATTCAGAAGCCCAGCCCATGAGAGCTGACTGGAAAAGGGACGAAGAGACACACAGAGTGAAACAGAGCGTGCAAGGAGAGGAGAGGAAGGAGGGTGTTGAGCCAGCTTGGAGGCTATCTTGGAGCATCGGAGGCCTTCTTGGAGCTACGGCGACGGGGCTGTACTGGGAGATATTAGGCTCCTCTTGGAGCTCTTTTGGGGGACCGTGTTGGGGCTCTTTGGGGAGTCTTGGGGTCCTCTTGGGGCTCTTTCGGGACGCCTTGGGGCCCTCATGGAGCTATCTTGGGGGTATCATGGGGCCTGTTGGGGGGCTATGGGGCGCCTCCTGGAGCCATCTTGGAGACCATCGATCAAAGGAGGGGGGATCCTAAATTTCCCCCCCCCCCCCATCCCCCTTCCAGGGCCATCGAAATAGCCTCTTGGGCGCGCACTTGGGGCCCTCGTGGGGCGATCCTGGGCGCTTTTAGGGGCAGTCTTGGGGGCCTTTTGGGCCCTTCTTGGAGCTCTCTTGGGCCGTCTTAGGACCATCTTGCACATTGGAAGCGAAAAGGCGAGAAGGCACACATCAGTGATTTCCCATTGGTTTCTGAAGGATTTTGGCTTCTCGGGAGGTCCCGAGGGGTCGCCAAAATGACCTGGAACCGTCTTGTGGCCATCTTGGGGCATCTTGTAGGCGTTTTGTCAGCTGTCTTGAACCATGTTGGGCTATCTTGAGCGATCTTGGAGGCCATCTTGGGCTCTCTCAGGCCCTTTTGGAGCCATCTCAGGCTATCTTGGACGCCCTGACCGCTCGCGAACCCCCTGTCCAGGTCCAGGGAAGGGGTTAGGGGGAGGGGTAAACCTTTCCCCGAAGGGGAAGAAAGGTTTTTCGAAGAGGGGATGAAGACATCGTTAGGCCACCAGCGCCCAGAGGGCTGGTGGGATTGCTCCTCAGTTTCCAGATCGTGCACTTGTAATGGTCTGTGCGCGCGTGCCCCGTGCACGCGCGCGTTAATTCCCGTGCGCGCTCGCAGGATGGAGGAGGGAGGAGAGACTTCCTTGCGTTCCTCTCGGCACCCGTGGCCCTCCTCCGCCTTCCGCTCCTCCTTGTCCTCCTCCCGGATAGTTTCTCTACGCGCGAGCTCAGCAGGGGGATAGTATCTCGCGCGGGAGGGGGAGGAGGAGGAGCAAGAGGAGCGCAGCAGCAGCGAGATGATTGCTGCACCGCCGCAGGTGCAGTATTTGTGCAACCTCAGGCACCTCAGAGTGCTGTGGCTCAACGACAACCCTTGCGCCAACTTGCCCCATTACCGGATGCACCCCGGACGGAACAAGTGCGTACGAGAATATATGATGAATCTTGGTGGTGATCGGACACGCGACAGCTGGGATTACAAGGGTTCCCAACCCCTCCAGGATCCTACATGTTGCCAGAATCGGCACGTGGATGCCGGAAAATGTAGAGACTGGCAGATTTTCGCCAGCGCAAAGATGCGACACATGGACTGGGCGCGCTTGACCGTTGATGCCCGCTTTGTGCCTACATCGGGTTGTAAGCAGATAGCGTGCGCGGACAGACAGACCATCAGAAAGGACAGCCGATTACAGTTGGGGGGGACATGGCCATGAATCGTTTGCAGCTCGCCCACAGCCCCAGAGAACCACCATAGAACCACCATAAATGCTTCACGCTCCGTGTATCCCCACCAGCCCATCAAAAAATGATGCCTAGGCGAGTTGCTTTGATCAGGACAGTGTAGAAGCATGCAGTGGAACAAGCTCTGGATCAGCCTGATCAGACCCTGGACGAGGACCAGGAGGAGACGGAGGACGAGGAGGAGGAGGAGGACAAGGAGGAGCAGAAGGACGAGGAGGAGGACGAGGATGAAGAGGAGGGCGAGGAGGAAGAGGACGAAGACGATGATGATGATGATGATGAAGAGGAGGAGGAGGAAGAGGACGAAGACTCTGAGGGTCCCCTCGGGGCTCTCCAGAGGCCTTCTTGGGGCTCTCTTGGGATCTTTCTGCAGGGTCTAGATATCCTCTTGGGGCTCTTTCTGGTGGTCTTGGGGTTTTCTGAGGGTCCTCTCGGGAGCCTCTTGCGAGTCTTGGAGGGCCTCTTGGGGCTGGGGCCACTTGGAAGGCGTCGATGAAAAGAGGGGGGGTCCCCGACTTCCCCCTCACACACACACACACACACACACACACACACACACGCACCCCCTCCACGGCCATTACAATCACACCTTGGGGCCCTCTTGGGGCGCACGTTGGGCGCTCTTGGGCGGTCTTGGGGCCGTCGTGTGGCAACTTGGGGCTTTTTTGGTCGACTTGAGGCCTCAAAGCCGCATCGGAAGCGAAAAGGCGAGAAGGCACACAACACATTGATTTCCTCTGTGGTGTTTGAAGGATGTTGGCCTCCTGGAAGAGTCCTGAGGGGGCTCGGAGAGCACTTGGAGCCGACGTGTGGTCCTCTTGAGGCTTCTTGGAGGCATGTTAGAAGCAATGTTCATCCACCTTCGGTTGTCTTGAGCCATCCTTGGAGGCATCTTGGAGCATCGGGGGCACCCTTGGATCCATCCGGGCGAGGAAGGACCCCTTGACACATCGCGACCCCTCCCCGGAAACAAAAACGCAGAGAGGGGGGGGTACCCCTCCCCGCAGGGAATCGGGGTTTTGGAAGAGGAGGGAAGAATATCGTTAGACCACCTGCGCCCTAACTGGAGGGACTATCACAACTAAATGCTCCTTACCTTCGCAGTATCCCCGCTGACGCCGAGCCCCTTCCAGGAACCTCCCTTGCGCACGAAGCGCGCCCAGGTGCGACGGTGAAGAGGGGCGCAGGGAAGGGGGTCCGGCGGGGAAATCGTGCACGGACGTCCGAACATTCATGTTTGTGATCTGTGAAGCTGCTTAAGGCTTGTCCTCGTTCAGGCAGCCCTACGCTTGGATCCAAGCGCAGACTTCGACCCTCGCCCTCTTCGCCACAAGACATACCAGGTCGGACCGAACACCCACTTCCCCTGTGTACCATCCGTCTCGCGCCCTGCTTGGTACGAGTTCGCACGACACGGCCGAGCGGTGGTGAGGCGGCGCGGCCAAGGGTCGGTGGGGCCACGACCACCGTACTTGGGACTGGTGCTCCTCCTACGCGGGCTCTTCCCATGGGCTAGAGCAGCTGGTACCCGAGCGTCCGCACATCGGTTCTTACGACGGTGCCCGTCCGCCCATCGGCTCCACAGGGCCCGAATGCGTGCTTCGGGCAGGAGCGCCTGTGCTTCGCTGGGGGCGGAAGCCCCCCGCCATTTCCCTCGGCGCCAGGCACCAGCCCAAGTGCCGCGCGGTCCCGGGGGCGGGCATTTTGGACGCGCTGGCGTCAACTTCGCAGCGGCTCCCCCACCCTTTCCCCAAAGGTACATCCTGCAGCGCCTGCCCAGCCTGGGGAAGCTGGACTCGCAGGCCCCAGCCGGCCACTGGGGTTTGAGGGCCTGGAGGGGTGGGGAGGCGCGAGGCGGGGGGGGGGCGGAGTGGGAGGAAGGGAGGGGGAGGAAGAGGAAAGGGGGAGGAGGATTGAGGAGGAGAGTTGGAGGACGAGGGACGCAGGGAGCCCGCCGGAGGGGGAGGAGCAGGATGTTTTTTGCTGTTTTCTCGTTTGGATGTTTGCGGCAGTCCTCGGGCATTCTAGGAAGGTGGGACGTTGGAAGGGGGGAGGACGCGGTGGAGGAAGTGGAGGAGTAGGAGTTAGAAGAAAAGCAACATTGAGATCAATAAGATCAGCACAGTACTACTACTACTAGGAATGCGAATAGTAGTATTATTAATAACACCCATATAGAGAATAGTAATAATAATTATAAACATATGTTTAATACTACGAATAACAAAAATAAGATGAATGCTGACGATGATGCTGACAGTAGTAAGCACACTGCTACTAATACTAATCATACGAGTACTAAGAATAGAATCATACGAATGAAAATACTAAGAATCAGAAAACAATATAGTAATAACAAGAAGCAAAAGCCGAAGAAGAGGAGAGGCATGATAACGGGTAAGGAGGAGCAGGAGGGGGAGAAAGAGGAAGGGGAAAGGGTTGAGGTCCATGACGCGGAGGTGTAGCAGGAGGAACATAATATCAAAAGGAAGAGGATGGGGAGGAGGAATGGACGACTACGCTCCTCCGAGTCTCCTCTTCGCGCTCGCGTCCAGTGGGAAGGAGGAAATGGAGGGGGTGGAGAAGGAGGGAGGATGCTTACCGCCATCAGGTCTGAGGATTACCGCCATCAGGCCTGGGCTCCAATGGTATGCATACTAAAAAGATGATCGCCGCATGCGGTCCAGAATGTGACCAGGTTGGTCGTTCAAGCGGTAGCCCTTCTGAAGCGCAATGCCACCATCTGCATGCAACTGTGCGTTTTGCCCCGAACTCTGCCGGGAAGTTCGCGCGCATTCGTTGCCTTTGCAGTCCATGAGGCGGAGGGCGGCCACTGTGTCAGTCGCCGCAGGCTCTTCGCACGCATTTGTGCCCACCACTCACTTGTTGGCTGGAGGTGCGAGGGTTGTGGTAAATATGCAAAGCAGAAGTCTGAAGGATTATTTCGCATCTTCAGCTCTGATTGCGCGGAAAAAAGAAGAGGATAAAGATCCAACAGGCCAGGGGATGATGAGGATCCAGGGGTCGAGGCGCGGGCGCAAGGTTGACGGCAAGCGTTCTCAGCTTACCGATGAGGTTGTCAACGCAAGCTTTCGGGACCGATTCGGCATGGCAGAGCATCCTGTCTGAGCACAGTGTCTTTTTCCTTGGCGGGCGGGCAGGTACATGATGCCCATGACTGTTGGGTTAAAAAGCTCTGTCAACTTATGTGATATGAGCGGCTTCTGGTCGCAGAGGACTGCGAGGCGCCTCTTCAAGCCGTGTGACGTTCGGGTCAAAGTCATAGCTCACCTCAGCAATAACTAGCGAGCGCTAGCAGCGAGAGACACTGCCACTAACAACTGAACAAGCTCCGTCGGCGCACCTACAAAGCAAGACGCGCGGGTACTCCAGCCACGCTGCCGCGCAAGAAGCGCCACAACGACCAGCTACGCCCGCCGGCACCTATTCACCAATGAGTGCCGAAGGCGAGCGGCTGAAGACAGAGCCAGGGAGCGGACCTGGCTAGAATGTACGGTCACTGCTGCGGCTTGAGCGCACGCCAGGGACGATCTGTGCCGGGCCCCTTCGGGCAGCGCCCTGCTTTCGGCTGTTAAGTATAATCGGCAGGTCGACGACACTTCGGGTAATGAGTCAGTCCTTAGACTCACCATGCGACGGGTTGCCGTTATGATTCGCGAACATCGGCATGATCAGCTCATCCCACGGTCGAGTTGGCCACCAGTGCGCCGACAGTACCCCCCAGGTCCACGACATTTTGTTCGGGCTGAGGCTCCTGCGCCATGAGTGAGTTGTGCCGAGCGCCCACTGCTGTGGCTACGCGGTGAACGCTCTGACACCTCATTGCGAGTGGCGTTCTGTGGCGGGAGAGTTGCGGAGGGACATTCTCCATTGTCTGGTAGCCCCGATTCGAATCGGAGCCCGCGCGCGCGCCGCTGCCATTGTGGTTTACAGCGTGCACACTGTATTGAACATTGTTACAAGGTTGTTAAAAGGAAAATAACACACGCGTTACTCTCTCTCTCTCTCTCTTTCTCTCTTTCTCTATCTCTCTCTCTCTTTCTGTCTCTGTCTCTCTCTCTCTCTTTCTCTCACTTTCTCTCTCATGTGACCATTGCCGCCATGCCTCGTACTTGTCACCCATGCCACCCGCCATTATAGCTTCTCCTCCTCATCCTCCTCATCATCCTGTCTTCCGCCGCCTCCTTGGAGTCAAAACTGTGTAACCCTTTCTTCTGTGATTGCACAGCCATGGTCATGTGGGCGCCTAGACTGATAGGCAGTCGGGCGATGACCTCCGAGGCCAGCTTGCCCTCCCTCCTCCTCTCTACTCTTCTTCCAGTGCAGTGCTGATTTAATTTTGGCATGGGTCGGGATTAGGGGATTTCCAACAGCCGATGCGCGTGGCAGCCGGCTTTGCCTTCTACGCTGCCTACCATCCCTCCTTCTTGTCTTGCCGTTCCTCGCATTATCTTCTTCTTCCTCCCTCACTGCATGGATACATACCCCGGACAAAATTTACTTCGGATGGCGCGTGGTGCGTTGTCAGTGCTGTTCCGCTTTCTTTCCCAGGCCAGAGTCGTCTTCACGAGTTGGCTTATTACAGGTCGGTTTGTGTAGTGCTCTAGGTTTGCCTGGCGTCCACAAGCTCTCATTGCGGTCACATATGAGGCGTCGAAATCTGGTTGTCGCGGTTTCCCCTCTCATGCCCCCAAAATGGATATATTTTTTGCACGGAGCGGTCATGCAAACATTCGCATCGCGTGGGAAAAGGGGCTGGGTAGGTTTGAATTCGGTTTTTAGCAGGGATGGTGGCGGGGGGGGCCCGCATGGGTCCGGGTTGGCTGTTGGTCGAATGGGGGAGGGGTGTGTCTATCAATAGGGAACAATGATAAAACCCCTTTCCAGAAGGAGGAAAACGGAAGAAAGACGAGGAAATTCGCTGATCCACTCACGCCCAAGGGGCTGGTGGGATTGCTTTCGGGGGGCGCCAAGGGGTTCGAGCCGATGTTCTGACAGCTCACGAAGGCGTGGAGGGATCCGGGGGGATCTAGATCAGGAAGGCTTCTGGTGGCAAGCAACTGTGTTAGAACGCGCTGGAGGGCACTACATGTTTCTGGAGTGTCCAATGCTGCTTCTCGAATGTTCGGGGAGTCGCCAGAGTGTTCACGAATGCGCCACGGTTTCTCGAGTGCCCTAGCCGAGGGTTCCTGGAGGTTTGAGAATGTTGTTCCTTAGAGCTCGAGCGAGACACCCGGATGGCCCGAGTGCTCTCGAGGGCTTTGCGCGGCACCGTGGTGTTTTCGCAAGTCCAGTGGGGGTCCGGACGGCCGTGCGAGGCTTTTTAAACGATCCAGAAGGCCATGGATGATGTAATGCTCTCGATGGCTAGACGGATCTGGAGGGCCACCGAGTGTTCCCGAGTGTTCAAGATGGCCCTGGAAAATTGAAGGGTCCGAGTATGCTTCCGAGGCCTGTAATGTCTTCGTGGGGCGTTCTAGGCGGATCTGGCAGGCTGTCGATTGCTCTCGAGGGTAGTCGAGGGTTGAGAAAATTCTGCACTGGGCGCGACAAGGCTCTAATGGTTTTTAGGTTGCTTTCGAAGACTTGAGAGGGGCAGCAGAACGAAAGAGGGCTCCTGCGGGGCAAACGTATTTGTTGAAGTGAGCTGGAGGGCTCTGGAAAGCGGTGAAGGGAGCAGAGAAGGTTCCAGATTGCCTTAGAGTGCTCGAGCGTGGCCTAGATTGTACTCTAGTGCTCGGCTCTAGAGAGCTCCAGAATTTGTTGGGATGCTGCGGGCGGCTCCGTAGAGGCCTCGAAGGATCCAGAAGGCTATCGTGATCTGCTTTTGATGTTTCTAGAGGGCGCCATAATGCTGTCGAGGGCGGTGAGGGTTTTGAGCAGCTCTAGATGGCATCCAGGCTGATCCAAACGGCCCTAGAAGTCTGTAGACTACTCGTCAGGGCTCTCGGTCTTGAGGGCACTCGAGTTCTCTAGGGAGTCGTAGATAACCTTAGGAGGCTTGATCGAGTGCTAGTATGCTTCAGATGGCTCACGAATCCGGTCAGGGGGCTGTCGACGGATCTAGCTGGCGCCCGAATGTTAATGAGAGCTCTCCGGGTTCGAGAACATATTTCGCGAGGCGCCAGAGGGCCCCCATGGATGTTGGATGCTCCAGAGAACGCTGGGATCGCGCTGGATGGTTCTGGCATCCCCTGGGGCACTCGTCCTAGAATGCATTTGAGGGTCCCAGAACGCGTGAGAACGGTTTACAGGGTCCCAAAGCGATTCATCGGACTGCCCTGTTAGGTTGTAGAAGTGCGTGCTAGGAGTGGGATGAGATTTTTAAAAACGCAGGGGGGCGATTCGACCACTTGAGACTCCCACGCCACCTCATCAGGAGGTGACCGCCGACGAGCGGCGGGAGGCGCAGTACGCGAACCTGGCAGACGTCCTCCCGCCGCCGTCGTCCGTCGGCCCTCGTTCTGGTGCCGCCTTGTCCTCGCTCCTCTTGTCCTCGCGTCCTCGCCGTCCTCCCCTGACGTCCTCCTTTAGAGGAGGATCGCAGGCGACTTCTCGCCCCCAATCCCCGAGGAGTCCCGCCTCAAAACAGGCTGGCAGTTTTGAAAAGAGGGGAAGCTCGGGGACACAATCCCACCCCCCATTGTATACCCCCGAATTGGGCCAAAGTGTTTCCAAAGCAGTGCTTGCGCGTAGGGTTTCTTATTTCTCCTCGAAGGAACTCGGCCTATCTGTCGGTCTTGCGGCTATGTTGCCACCGTCGCCGCCCCGTCGCCGCCTCGACGCCGCCCGTCGTGTAGGCCTGTCTGCCCGTCTGGCGGCTATGATGCCGCCGTCGCCGTCTCGTCGCCGCGCCAAACATGGAATCTCCTTTCTAAAAGAAGAATAGACTCTACCCCCCCCGCCGGAGTTAACGGGCCACCTTTTCGCATTGCAATTTGCATATGATTCTGCCCCTTATCGTCCATCCTGACTGTGAATTCATAGTATCCCAGCCAAACTAGTATCGCCCCCCGCCATCCTCTGCACAGAAATATATGCGCGCGCCCGTTTATCAAAAAAACAAATGTTCGAGAAGCACTTGCAACAGCTGGGACGAAGTGCCCACGCGCGCGTCGTCGCGCGCGCATGCCGAAATCCTTCAAAAACCTTAGGTTCCGGAAGGATTTCAGAATCGAGTTTCCCAAAACACATGCAAAAACACAGGGTTTCGCACACTGATGTTCCAGAAAAGCTCACGCTCGTGCTCTTGCGAAATCTTACTCAAACCATAGGTTTTTCAATAGTTTCAACAAATGCTATCAAAGGGGCTTCGCGCGCGTATGACGAAATCTTTCGACCGCCCTTGCGCGCGTGCCGTCGCTAGAATCCTCTGCAAAAAAACGGGACGAACTGCAGACGCGCGCGTCGTCGCGCGCGCATGCCGAAATCCTTCGAACACCTTCGGTCTCGGGAGGATTTCAAAATCGTGTGTCCAAAAAACATATAAAAACACAAGGTTTCGCAACACGGATTTTCAAACAGAACGTGCGCGCGCGCTCTTGCGTCGTCGTCGTCGTCGCCCTCCTTCCTCCTCCCTCGTCGTCGTCGCCGTCGTCGTCCTCTGTCTTTCCTCGTCGTCGTCGTCGTCTTGGCGTCGTCGTCGTTTCCGTCGTCGCTGTCGCCGTCGTCCGGCGTCGTCGTCGTCGTTTCCGGCGTCGTCGTCTTTTCTCCCTCGTCGTCTTCGTCGGCGTTTCGTCGTTGTCCCTCAAATTTCGTCGTCGTCTTCCCTCCTCCCTAGTCGTTGTCGTCGTCGCCGTCGTTGTCCTCCCTCCTCCCTCGTCGTCGTCGTCTTCGTTGGCGACGTCGTCGTCGTCGTCGTTGTCGTCGTCTTCGTCGCCGTCGTCGCCGTCGTCGTCGTAGTCGGCGTCGTCGTCGTCGGCATTGACATCGTCGTCGTCGCGGTCATCGTCGTCGTCGGCGTCGTCGTCGTCGTCGGTGTTGTCGTCGTCGTCGTTGTCGTCGTCGTCGAAGTCGTTGGAGACTTGCCCGCGTTGGAGACTTGCCCGCAACGTCTACAATTGTCGACGTTGCCATGATACCGCGCCCGCCTAGGTCGCCGACTCGCAATGAAGTGCCCGCTGGTACGTGCCCAACGATCAGCGCCACCGCGGCCACGTCGGTCGCGCCAGACCAGCTGGCCGCTGCGCGCGTGCTTGGGTTGGCACGGCCGCAGAGACGCACCAGCCCACGCCGAGCATGCATCGCAATCCCCACCTTATGGGTTTTGAAAACCAACTTGCGGATGGGTGGGTGGGATGTTTGCAAGAGCACGGAATGTGTCAACTGGTTTGTTAAAATCAAGTGCACCTCATAGAGTGCACCACGTAGATCGCACCACGTAGATCGCACTTTCTAGATTATTCCCCCTCCCCCCCGTGGACTTAACGGTACACCTTTTCGTATTTCAATGTCACACGATTCTGCCCCATCGCCCATCTTAATATGAGCTCGTACCATCCCGGCCAGGCTGGTATCGCGCCACCCCTTCATCCAGAACGGGACGAAGTGCACACGCGCGCGTCGTCGCGCGCGCATGCCGATATCTTGCCAGCTAAGATCCTACGTGTCGTAAAGATTTCAACATCGAGCGTATCAGGCACATTAAGAGACATGGTTTTGCAACACTGAATCCCGAAAAAACATGCGCCCACGCTCTTGCGAATTCTTTAGAACACCATCGGTCTGTTAACATCATCAGAACATGCTACCACGCGGGCCTCTCGCGCGCGCGTGGCGGAATTTTAACAACACCTTGCGCGCGTGCCGTCGCAAAACTCTCCCCAACAAAAACGGGACAAAGTGCACACGCGCGCGTCGTCGAGAGCGCATGCCGAAGCCTTTTCAAATCGATCTGGATTCGTAAGGATTCTAAAATCGAGTGTCCCGAAAACATAACAACACATGGTTTCGCAACATCATGTTTAAGCCAAAAATGCCTGCGCTCGCGGTCTTGTGGGATTTCCATGACACCATCGGGTTTTCAACCTGTTCCTTAAAAATTACCGAACGGGCCTCTCGCGCCGCATGCCGAAACCATTCGAACGCCCTTGCGCGCGTGTTGGGGGGAGCGGCGCGATCCGTGTCCCAAAAAACATGTGGGCCCTTCTCGCGCGTCGTCCGCGCGCTTGTCGAACTCCTTCCAAAACCTTCATAGGACGCCGTCATCGTCGCCGGCGTGATCAGCATCGGCGCCGTCGCTGGCCGTGCCGCCGTCGTCGTCATCATCGTCATCAGCATCGCGGTTATCAGCATCACGTATACCGTTGCCGACGTTGCCATGATACCGCGCCCGCCCAAGCCGCCGACTCGCGCTGAAATACCCGCTAGAAAGTGCCCAGCGGTCAGCGCCACCGCGGCCGCGTCGGTCGCGCCAAGCAAGCTGGCCGTTGCGCTCGCGAGCATGCGCGCAAGCGCGGCCGCTCCGATGCGCCAGTCAGCACCGAGCAGTCATCGCAATCGCCGCCGCATTTGTTTTGCGAACTAGATTGCGGGTGGGTGAGTGGGGTGATTGCGCGAGCAGTGGAGTTGACAACTTCAAGTTCGGCAGGGTGAATTGCACAACGTGCAGTTTCCTTTCTTCTAAGAAATTAGATTCTACCCCTACCATCCCCCCTGGGGTATTGTAGTTTACGTGTGATTCTGTCTCCTTGTCCATGTTCCTTTTGAGTTTACACCCTCCCAACTAGTCCCGGTATCGGGTCCCACCCTCATCCTTGTCAAATAGTACTATGCGGTGCACATGCGTTTATCTAAGATGAGCTCGTGGTGCGACTCCCGATCGAATACCACCATTCGGGCAGCATGCGCGCGCAACACGAAATCCTCCCAAAAAGTGTGCAGTCGAAACGAATTTAGCATAACACGTCAAAAACCACATGGTTTGTCAATGAAAATGAGTTTTCAAATGTTCATCCCGCGCGCTTTCGTGGATCCCTAGGAAACCTTTCGCGAAGCGTTCGCGCGCGCACGTCGGACTTATTCTAGCGCCCTCGCGCGCTTGACAAAGGCATGATCCCTGTCAAATCATACCATGCGGGGCACCGTTATCGTCATCATTGCCGTCGGCGTCGTCTTGATCATTCCCATCGTCGTTTGTCGACGCCGTCGTCCGCGCTGTCTCCCGCAAGATGATGGCCGCGCGACGAGGGTCAGCGTGCCTGTGAAATCGATGAAAGTAGCGGGGGAGGCTCACGCTGCAACTGTAGTCGCGCCCTTGTGAGTTCTGCAAACCACCTCTTCGTCGTTCGGCGACGCCGTTGTCCACGCTGTCTCCCGCAAGATTGACCTTGCCCGTGCGACGAGGGCCCGCGTGCCAGCGAGCTCGACGAAATTAGCGGACGAGCTCCACGCTGCAAGTGCAGTCGCGACCTGATGAGTTCTGCCAGTCAAGTAGCGGGTAGGAGGGAGGGATGTTTACACGAGCGTGGGAGGTGGTCACGCGGGGTGCACTGCGGTCAATTGCATCACATAGACGACCCAACACATACCGCATAACATAAATTCTCCTTTTCTAAAAGACTAATAGATTCTACCCCCCCCCCGGACTTATCGGGTCCCCCGCGCGTGCTGTAAATTACATATGATTATGACCACATGTCCATCCTAAATATGAATTCGTACCATCCCAGCCAAGCCGGGTTCCCCCCCCTGCGGTTCCCTTGTAAAAAAACACTATGCGTTGACATGGTTTGTTCTAACATATCATTTTTTCACGAATCCATTGCAAAAAATTAGACGAAGTGCACACGCGCGCGTCGTGGCGCGCGCATGCCGACATCCATAAAAAACCTTCGGTTCCGGAGATATTTCAAAATTGAATTTCCAAATTATCCTGGCGAAAGATCCAACCATAAGCAATTGTTGGTAACGCGTTGTGGGTGCCGCTTTCGGTGGGGCTCCATATGGGGCCACGAAGCGCTGCCTTGGGTGGGGGAACCGCATGCGGACTGCGCCACCGGGGCGGGCCTTCGGTGGAGCTCCCTATGGGGCTACGAAACGCTGCCCTGGGTGGGGGAACCGCATGCGAACTGCGCCACTGGGGCCTTCGGTGGAGCTCCCTATGGTGCCACGAAACGCTGCCCTGGGTGAACTATGGAACGAAAACCGCATGGGGCCTTCGGTGGAGCTCCCTATGGGGCACGAAACGCTGCCCTGGGTGGGGGAACCGCATGCGAACACCCCCACTGGGGCCTTCGGTGGAGCTCCCTATGGGGCCACGAACGCTGCCCTGGGTGGGGAACCGCATGCGAACACCCCCACTGGGGCCTTCGGTGGAGCTCCCTATGGGGCCACGAAACGCTGCCCTGGGTGGGGGAACCGCATGCGAACACCCCCACTGGGGCCTTCGGTGGAGCTCCCTATGGGGCTACGAAACGCTGCCCTGGGTGG